TTCAACTTGAAAAATATGACGTATGTAAATGAGGTAATTTTTTGCTTTTTTCATCACCAACTGTAATGTTGTTTTTATTTGCTCGATTCGATTTGATATGATGACAATCAAAGCATTTTTGTGTGTTATTCAATGCAATTTTAGCCCATTTTTGCAATTTCAGAGTTTCAAGGCTTTGATTTATTGTGCTCCACCTTATACAACTTCACTCTGTTTGATTTATTTTCAACTCTTTCATTTCTCAAACTTGTTTCAATTTTTGTAATCGCAAGATTCAAGTTAATACTTGATAAACTAGCAAGTGAAAAGGAAGCTGATTGAGATTATTTATACAAATTTTGCCCTATTTCAAATGTTAATGCAGCATCTGAATTTTCATTTTTGTTGTTGTTGTTGTTGTTGTGTGAAAATTTTAGGATTTGGAGATAAAAGATTTGTGTTAGTGTATTAAAGACTTTAGATATGGCATCAAAACCCTTCATGGCAAGCAGATTTTCTCCATCAACAAACTCAGATGTGTCGGAGTCACAACACCTCTCTCTTGTTTCAAGCATTTGAGCTCTGCAAGAAGTTGGTGATTTGTTTGTTTGTTTGTTTTTTTTTTTTTAATTTTTTGATTGAAGAATACATATATTTTGTGTAGTAAAAATATCATGAAATGTGCAATTATATTGGATGTATAAAAATTGTGGTTAGCCCAATGCATGGTTGGCTTATGGATATGTAAATTTGAGCCATTTGTATTCTTAGTTAAATTCTTTTTTCTTTTTTGGAGGAATTAGTTAAATTCTTTGGCTTATACTATGTTTCCAAAAAAAATAAAATAAAATAAAAGTGGCGTTGTGTGAAAAAACGCCACTAAATATGTTATTATGATGTCATGCGTTAGTTTGTGATGGAAGTTCAAACAGGCGTCAAAGATTTTGCGGCTTTTTTAAAAAACGCCGTCTAATATTTTTAGCAACGTTTTTCAAACATTGTAAAACTATTGCGGCGACCATATCAGTGATGAAAATATTAAACGTCGCTATAAATTTTTACGGCATTTTTTAGGCTTTAAAACGCTACTAAAACTCGAACTTAGTGGTAGAGCTGCTGCTTGTGACAGAGCTGCAAGCTTAGCATTGCTTCTGTAGTTGCTTGTATTGCTAATCTTGGCAGACTAGTCGTGGCTACATTTGCACCTACGATCTTCGAATCATCGGCTACACATGCATCTACAATCTTTGAGGTTGTTTGGAAAGTTGGCTATTTTAATAGGTTATTTTAGTTTTTATCTATTTGAATAGGTTAAAATAATTTATTTGGAAAGTTTGTTGAATTTTTTTGTAATTGGATGTGAGGTTTGTAAGAGAAAAAATAAATGATTATGAGTTTGATGTGATATTTTGTCTTATTGATTATTTTAGCCTCTTTTGTATTTTAAGAATGTTATGAGAAGTTAGTTAAAAATTAACTTTTTGATTTTTTTAAAAAAAATATATAAAAAAGTGAAAAGGTGATGTGACTAAAAAAAACTAAAAAATCAAAAAATTAACTTTTAACTAGCTTGTTAAAATCGCCTTTATTATTATTTTAGCCTAAAAAACTTAAAAAATCTCTTCCTAAATATCCCAAATCATTGACTTGTATTCATGTTAGAATATCAATTAGTAATCTTTCAAGACTACATCTAAAAACAAATAAATGTTAGAATATATTATCTTACCTTGACTAGGCAAGTATATTTTAGCTCTTCAGGATTGTCATTTGTCAACATTTCATGATTAAGTAGGTACAACTCTCCTTCCGAAAGAGAGACGTACACCTCATCCACCTCTTCTGCATGCAACTAAAAACTTTCGTAATGTCGTTTTTGCTAAAATTCATCTGCTCCCACTTTTCGGAACACAACTTGAGCCACTTCGGGGATGATATTCAGCATATTGTCCAACTTTGGTTAAGCCGACATTGCTTCTCTCAAATTTTAAGTATTAGGACCACCATTTTATGCACTATATCAAAAGTTAGTTAGGTGTATACTTAATCTTTTCGTTTTCAAAAACATATTAATGTGTATTAATTGAGCGTTATTTTTTATATAGAATCAGAAAGACATAACAGACTAACTATATTTATTCAAAAGTCGATCATCTTTGCTTTAAATTACATATATATATAGAGAGAGAGAGAAAAAGAGTTGTTGCCAAAAATTTTACACATGCAGATGAAAAGAGATCTTTGTATTGAGGTCTATGATCTACAAGAATAATTTAAAAGGAGTTTTTTTTTTTTTTTTTTCTTCCCAGTGATTTTAGTGAAAAATCACAACATTAATTGCATAAATCTTACCTTTATTGAACTCATAATTCCCTTCTCTATTGTTCTCTTCAAAAGCAAAACCAACAGAATAAATGCTTGAAGCTTTCTTTGCCAATTTGTCCGTAATATGGACCACCTGTAATGTAACAAACAAATGTTTAAGTTGAAAATAAAGCATAAGCAAGTTTAACAGGTAAACTGTGTACATGTCCTCTTCTTGCATGTAAAATTGATTATTACAAGAAAATCATGATAAATTTCTTCCCCATTATTCATCCTTTGTTCCTTGAAAATAAAACCTTTAAAGACTGTTTCCACCCAAATTTAATTTAATTTTTTTTTTTAGCACAATTAAACATTGTGACAACTTCCATTTCATCCCCAATCAATATTGAGAATTTGACCAAATAAGGGTACATGAAAAACTAGGAATCATAACATAGCAAACAGAGACACCTGGGTAACAAACAATACACCTCAATATATATATATATATATATATATATATTGAGGTGTATTGTTTGTTACCCAGGTGTCTCTGTTTGCTATGTTATGATTCCTTATAATATCCAATGGCTAGGCTGAATTCATTTTATGTTATGTTAATGTAATGATGTACTACCACATGCTAGTTATGTTATTTGTGATATTGATTACTACAAATGTCATACTTAAATTCTTTTAAGTTAATACTATTATACAAACAAAAAAATATATACATGATTTTCATTCATAATAAATTAATAATGTGACTTATTGTGAACCTTTCACTTCAAAATAAAATATTATTGAAGATAAATTTATTTACAATAATGACATTACCACATCTATTAATTATTATTTTATTTTTTATTTTTTTGTGTATGAATAGAATCTCGGGGCCCTGAGCCGATCGACCGGGCAAAGACGCAGTGGCCCGCCAGTAGCCAGCTGGGGGTGGGATTCGAACCTGAGACCTAGAGAGGAGCAAACTCCTAGGTCCCTGGTCCCTTGCCCTCAACCAACTAGGCTACCCTTGTGGGTTTAGTTATGTTATTTGTGATATTGATTATTACAAATGTCATACTTAAATTCTTTTAAGTTAATACTATTATACAAACAAAAAAATATATACATGATTTTCATACATAATAAATTAATAATGTGACTTATTGTGAACCTTTCACTTCAAAATAAAATATTATTGAAGATAAATTTATTTACAATAATGACATTACCACATCTATTAATTATTATTTTATTTTTTATTTTTTTGTGTATGAATAGAATTTTTTCAAAATAATAATAATAATAATAATGGGGCATAACCAAACACACATATAAAGACGTTATCAATCATAACCAAAATAATAATCACAATAATGTTTTGTTTTTTTTGAACAAGCAATCAAAGAAATTTTATAAAGATGAAACATGCAAAATCTCTTAGGGGCCTATTGGACTAATTTAACACAATGTAAATTTTGTAAGATAAAATTGATAAAATTAGAACTATAAAGATAAATTTTCACAATAGCAAATAATAGGGACTACATATGTAATTTGTCCAAATTTTTAAATAAATAAATCTAACAAATATTCAATTTAAGTATTAGCCAAAATCTATGATACTAAACTTTAATCTCCATTCGTTTAACAACTAAATAATAATATATATTGCATACAACATAATAGAGTTTTTAAAAAATAATTGTATATAAAAATGAACACACAAATCACAAGAGATGCTCTCTAGTGGTGAAGTCCCAGACCCTTCATATAAAAGACAATGAAGTTGTACAAAAAAAGAGAGTAGATGAACACTCTCAAAAAGAACCCTCAATCAGTCTAAAATGCTTGGATTGGTGCAATGAAGCATGTCTAGCAATTGATTATTCTCATTCTTTCATATAATTATGCACCTCACATTTGTTGGCCAACAATGCAATATAGACAGACATGCTCTAATAATATCATCTACCCAGTCTGATAACTTGAATTATGAAAAATGTTTGGTAGCTCAAAATTTTGTGGCGCAAATAGCTCAAATCTGTCAAAACGACGTTGTTTTATACTTAAAATCTATCAAAACGACGTCGTTTTGAGTGATTTGAGCCACAAAATTTTGAGCTACCTAGCATTATTGCTTGAATTATATTACAATATTTATTAGTTTTAAGTTTTTAAAAATAATTTTTTTAATTTGCAATATATATTCTTTTTGGATTTTAGTTAACGTTTTTAATATTCTAATCATTTTTATTTTTTTTAACTTTTAGATCTAGATACACTTTAAAATTATAAAATTTGTAAGATACAAAAATTCAATATATTTTCATATTTATTGAATTTTTTAAAATTTCTTTCCAATATTTTACTTTTTTAAGTGTATTTAAATTAAGTCGGTCCAAAAACTAAAAAAACAAGATTTGATTAAATTATTTTTAAAAAATTCACCAAAAACAAAAGAACATGGATTGAAAACTCAAAATAACTGTTTTGAAAACTCAAGACCAAACAGAATGTATGATTCTATGGGTATCAACTGGCAAGATATCCCCTTGGCAAAACAAAAAAACTGTCGAGACATCCCAACAGAAATTGAACTACTTTAATTCAAGTAAAACACCCAAAGCAGAGTTTCAATACTCAGCAAAAGCTAGATATACAACCATTTTAAGCGTGTTAACAAGTGCCCAAGAAAAAGAGGTGAGAACTTTAAAAACTTGGAAATTGCAAATTTTAATATATACTGGTTATTCAAGTGGGACTGGGTTGCTGGATAATTTAAACAAAACACCAGAAATACAAATAATTGCATATTTAATCTATTAGATTATTGTTTTCATTTAAATTTATATATTGTACAGGGTTGAGAGACCAGAAATAAACCTCAAGGAAAAAAGATTACAAAGCAACAATTGAAGGAAGCTCTGGTTCCACCTCAGATTCTGCATCAGACCCTTCAGCACTTGTCTGCAATACACAATAGAAACACAAATGTCCCAAACATTATTGGCTAAAAAACACGGACATGGATACGGATATGCCAACACGAGAATTATATAACAAAAAATGCAAGAAACAACACAGTGCACACAAAAAAATTATATATATTTATTATATGGCATATATACAAATATATCTTCACAAATAATAAAAAATTGCAACATAAATTCATAGAAATTTACCTCATTTTTTTTTTCTTTTTATCATTATATCTTAAGTTATTTTGTTCAGACGTATAACAAGTTTAATGCATATCTAATTGATGAATATGTGTGTCTCCCGAGTGTCCAAAGCATGTTGGGTGTAAAAAAAATTTTTAAGTTCTTTTCAGATTATTGAAAACGTATGAGCAAGCAACATTAATTTGACAAGATACATGTGGCTGAGTAATATGCACCTCTAAATCTTTTAATTTATGTTGTGAAAGATAGCGGTCAAATGCACCCTTGCCATAAAGGATTTTTGATCCACACCCATGTCCCTCCGACCCAACAGCTTCCTCATCAACTAGAACAGCATCTATTATATCATCACCTGTTCTCACATCTGGAATCTGCAAAAGATTCAAAGATGAAATCACATTCAGAATTATATCTTCATATTCTATCAGTAGCATTATAACAGACATTAGGGCCAAAAGAATTTGTTTTAATAAGAATTTGCCGCATTGAACAACAAACATGTTTTAATATGACATTAGCCAAAAATTGTAGTCCCAGGGCGTTAAGGGTATGAAGTAATAAGCAGAACTTTATCAGGTTCAGAACAAAAAAGGCCATAAGAACAGAGAAATGGGTCTCATTATTTTGCCAAGACTGGGATTAATTTAGACCCCTAATCATCAATTGCTTTGACCAGTATAAAAAGTGTAGCAGAGGTCTAGCAAGTACAAAAACCGGGTTATACATGGACTCTTCTATTTCTTCCTTTGACAATTGTTCAATGATGACATCAAAAGGAGTTGAGTGATTATGAGGTTGTTCTTTGTAGCTATGGCTGTGCAGTGCTGGAGCTGGATGATACCATAGTGATAATAGCTTTTCCCTTCCTAAGGTTCTGGGACTTATAATGAAGAGAAGCTATGGAGAAAAAAAAGCAATAGAAGATTCAATCTAGAATTCTAGATGAAACGCCCTAATCCAAGATTGCAGCGTATTTGGGTAACAACATTGCAACGTCAGACCTCTTTATTGTTTGCATTAATTTCATGTCTTGAAACTAGATCACTTTCTCACATTCCTTTGATTTATAATCTCACCGGTGCACTGATTTTCCAACCAATAATTCTTCAATCCCAAACAAACAAACCACAAGGTTTTTTTGTTACCTAGCCATACATACAGTGGTGACCTTAGTGCTGAGCCAAATCAAATTGTCAAAGAAAGATGTATATGATTGTTAGTAGTATGTATGAGGGTAATCTTGTATTTCTAAACAGATAAAAGTAAAAAGTTGTGTTCCTAGAAAAAGGGTGGCATTAGAGCCACCCTTTTTCTAAATCCTATTTAATTTCAAGTACATTTCTGCTTTATAGTAGCCAGCATGTAGAGCAACTCCAACACTCGCATGCTTTTCAAACTTCATACATAGGCTTAGTTATCAAAGGAGATCTGACATACCTCATACATGGCATCCATCAAAATATTCTCCAAGATGGATCTTAGTCCTCGAGCCCCCGTGTTCTTTGTAATTGCTTGCCTAGCAATTAATCTCAATGCATTTTCTGTGAAATGCAGATCTACCTGATAAATAAATCCAAGAACAATTAATTTACACCTGCAACATGTACTTTTACCATATCAATAAAAGCATAACACTGGTCCAGATGTGTGGGAACAAAATGAATGATGCCTATTCCCACACATCGGGTCAAAAATTTGAAGTTAATGCCTTTAGTTTTCTTCAAACTAACTTGGAAGAAGAGTGACCTGTAAAGAAAAACTTACTCCGTTCATTTTAAACATCTTTTTGTACTGCTTCCCTAGGGCGTTTTTTGGCTCTGTCAGCACCTACCAAACATTATTGCTAGTAAGAATGCAAACAAAGTGGCTAGGTATACATGACAACTAACCCATGCACATCATTCTGCAAAAATACCTGAACAAGTTGGTTCTCAGTGAGAGCTGACAAACTAACAAGGATGGGAAATCGTCCAACAAATTCAGGTATCAAACCATATGCGATAAGATCACCACTTTCAACCTGCCAAACATGAATGTATCTTTCATACTTCATTGTGCAAGCAAGAAAAGACTGACTTTGCTCCTTAAAAAAATCAACATATATTCGTGTGTGTGTATATATATATATAGAGAGAGAGAGAGAGTCCATCACTTTGGAGAGAGCTTACAGTTTCCAGTAGAGATGATGCCACAGCAGCGCTTGTAACACCACCACTCCTCATGTTTGCACGCACAGGTGCAGAAAACCCAATAGAAGAATCTTGACGCCTGAAAGTGGATGCAGAGCACTTCAAGTTGCAGAAAAGATCATAAAGCTGTGTTTGGATCATGGATTCAGGGAGGGATTTGTGAAGGAAATAGAAAAGCGAAGGGTTGTTTTCACTTTTTCTTTTGTTTTTTCTTTCCATCTGCAAATTCCTCCATAATCCAAACACAGCCTAAAGGTAACATCACCAAGAAAGGGTGAAATCATAATTTTCTAACAGTAATTACCTTTCTGAGATTGTTTTCTCCAAGTCAATAAAGGCACCCCCGCATATAAAAAGAATATCTTTTGTGTCAATCTGTTAAAAGTATAAACACATGAACATGTCTTAGAAACAGCAAGATTGGAAGTATGGTTAAGAAGAGAACTAAAGATATTTCTATAAAACACAGATACCAAAGGAAACTATTATCAGACATATTTTCAAGAAAGATCGAATGCAAGAGCTGTCTAACTAATTCAAGTTAAGTTAGTATTAAATTCTTTTTTCCTTTTTTTTTTTCCCCCCCTTTTTCCCATCTTTATCAAGTAGTATCTATTGGACAATCTAAGGAAAAACAAAAGATAGAAAACTGAAAACCAAAAGGAAAGTAAACTGTTTGTTAATTTTTCTGGGGAAACTTTTCTTTTTCTAGCAGATCCAGATAAATTAAACTCCTTATCCACATATTAAATTCAAGATGAAACTCCATCAAACCAAAAAACCGCTAAAGAATCGTGAGATTTTTCATTTCAAATACTTCTCACATCACAAAGCCATAATTTGCTCAGTAGCCTCTTATTCTTTGTACTGTACAGTGTTTTAGATCATTTCTTATGCCTTATTAACTAAAAGCATGAGAATGATATGGCCAATAAGAAGATGATAAAATTCTTTTTTCGTGGCTTTTTGAGACAGTTAACCCATTGCTATTTTATATATTACACTTTCACAATGAGTTCTGCAAATTACCACATCCAAACAGGCATAAATTGCACATTATTTAAGCCATCATGCTTTTCAATACTTGCACAATAACTAATGAACATGTACCTGAATATTGTCACCTCTAGGATGCTTTCGAGCTCCCTTCTCTGGGACATTGACTACCTGGACAGAAAAATCCATAAATCAGAATATAATGAATTAACTATTCAATCATCATAATAGCAAACCTTTTGTGCAAAAGAAGACTCCACTCTTCCAACTAATTTTGATGAATCAATATATAAATTACCAAGTTGAAATAATCAGCAATCCAATGCAGTAGCCAAAATAAGTGCATAAAAGTCATAACAGGACCAAAAATAGGAGTTTCGTGAATTTATTTTTTCTTCTTTTCTATTCATTTTATACTAGTCTAGTAGCCTTCTTCCTTTGCTAGGTGGGCTAGCAAAGAGTACATTTATTAGAAGGCACTGAGGGGGTGCCACCAGTATATAAAGCTAGAATAACCAGAAATAAAACACCTCTACATCAAAACTGTTAAAAAAACACCTATATATAAAAAATATTCAAGAATCTCTACAAAATCCAAAAATTAGTTCAACGAGGGGTCAAACACTACCCAAGAACCAACTTTAGAATCATGAAGCCAATAAATTACAAATTCAAAATAATTTCATGCAGATTCACCAAGACCAACTCCAGCAAACATCTCAATTTAAATTTATGAAAAAAATTGGACAAATCATCAATAGAATGCAACAGATGCATTCCCTCCATGGGGATTGAAAAGTATTCATCATTTAACATTTTCAAGGTGAACCAAGTAGAAGATGTATTTACCGTTCCTTCCAGCATTTTAAGTAATGCTTGCTGGACACCCTCCCCTGAAACATCTCGGCTTATATTGAGGCTCTCAGCCTGCAATACGAAAATGGAAAATTGTAGCAAGAGTGCAGAAGAAAGCTATGTTGCATTTGGAACATAAGCAAAAGATAATTCTCAACCCTCAAACAGTGTTAGAGAAACCTTTTTTGTAATCTTGTCAACTTCATCAATATACACAATGCCTTGCTGGGCAGCTGCCACATTATAGTCAGCAACCTGAGGCAATAACAGGCCAGGATAAGAACAAAAGATCATATTTAATCATAAAAGTTATTACAGAAACATTCAAATTGAAATTTAAAAGGCAACAAAGATAGTAACAAAGCAAGTAAAAATGGTACTTTGTGCAAAACCTATTCTCTTTTATACTTCACTGGAACATACATGTAGTCCAATAAAAATGTAAAATACATGAACTTCTTGCAAGAAATATGGGCTATGTTTGGTAGAGCTCTGGAACTTTAATTCCACCCTTTGGTTTGCACATGATGTTTGTTTACAGTTTTTAAAAATTAATTCCACACTCACTTTTAAAAACTCTGTCCAAGGCGGGAAAATTTGGGCTAACTGGTTGTCCTCCCGGATGTGCGGCCGGTTGACCGGAACAGTGCATTTTTTTTATTTTTTATTTTTTTTTTACAATTGCCACCTGCTATTTTTTATATTTTAAATTTAAAAAAAAAATTTCGGAATTGTTTTAAATTTTTTATGAGTTTTGAATAGAATTTTGAGTTGTGTGATTGGTTATGAGTTGTAAGTTTTGTATTAAATATCATATGTTACATCAAAAATTCCCTACTCAATTCAAAATTCTTTTCAAAACTCATTCACCAAACAAATTTTTCACACTCAAATCATAATTTCAAAATTCACAAACTCAAAATACAACTCCTATTCTTAAATCATATTTAGAAAACTCTACCAACGCTATCATGATTTTTCAATGCGAGAATTTTAAAACAGCAAAAGATCATTCAGGCTTCAACAAGTGACAAAATAAGGAAAACAATAAAGGCTTCACAACCAAAAACTACAACATAAAAGGATGTTACACTGGTCTCAAGCTTGAGAGCAAATCATAGTTGGGCAATTATGCAACAAACAATATTAGTTAAAATCATAAACAAGTAGGATGTAGAATAGCTTTATAGCAACTATATGATCCAAAAGTCCACAGACTGTCATCGAAAATCAGAGGCCAACACTGAATGCTTAGAAATGGTTGCCTGGTCACCAAAATAGCATCCTACATCATTAGGGGCGATGTTCTTTTATCCATGATGAGCATTGACAAAGTTCAGTAACTTCCAGACAAGATATGAAACTGCAATTCATGCTGGCACTGTTTGAAGCAATAACCACACATATTGGTGATGTATATTCTTAAACTCAGGAGTATGTTCATGGAACTTTACCATAAGGAGCTTGTATAATATGGACTCCACATCTTCCCCAACATACCCTGCCTGCAAAGAACAATATGTTGTCATGAGCTCAACAAAACAAGATCTGTCAACACAAAACTCTATATTCCATTATTTCCCTTAAAATCACAACAAAACCTCAAAAAAAGAGAAGAATTCCAAAACATATAATTTGTCTACATTCTCAACAGAAAGAATAAGGTAAAGCATTAAAAACTTAAACTTATTAAGAGTGAAGGATGACATAGGTTGCGTTTGGTAGAGTTTTAGAATTATAATTTGAGAATAAAGTTGTATTTTGAGTTTGTGAACTTCGGAATTATGATTTGAGTGTGGAAAATTTGTTTGGTTATGAGTTTTGAATTGAGTTTAAATTGAGTGATGTGACATATGATATATGATTCAAAAATTTATAACTCATAACTAAACACACAACCCAAAATTCTATTCAAAACTCATTAAAAAAATTTAAAAAATTCCTAAAATAATTTTTATTTAAAATATAAAAACAACAGGAGCAAAAAAAATAAAGAACCCGAACACTGTTCCGATCATCCGGCCGAACGTCCGAGAGAATGAACGGGCAGACGTGTTTTGAAAAGTAGGTGTGGAATTAATTTTTGAAAACTGTAAACAAACACTGTATTGAAATCAAAGGGTGGAATCACACTTTGAAAGTCTAACCAAACACAGCCATAATTTTTCTTTTGTTCATTCTTCATTCTCTTTTTTTTTAGGTCACTCAAAGGTTATCAAAATTGATTTTGACAATTATTTTCAGATTGGTTCTTCACAACTCAATGAGAGAGAGAGAGAGCTCTTTAAAAAAGACGCCAAGTTAATCATTTTGATTAGGCTAAACATGAATCGAACACATTCCAAGAATAAATTAGGCTATGTTTGGTTTAAGTTTCAAATCATAATTTCACCCTTATATTTGAATGCTATGTTTGATTTAAGTTTTCAAAAATTGATTCCAAGGCCACATTTGAATACACATTCCAATGCATATTTGGCTGAGTAGAGTTTTTGAATTTTGAATTTGCGGATTGGGTCTATCCGGTCGTCCGCCCGGATATCCCCCGGATGTCCGGCCGATTGACCGGTACAGTTTTTTTTTTTTTTTTTTTGGCAATTGCAACCTGTTATTTGAAAACAAAAAATTTATATTTGTTTTGATATTTTTTAAATATAGAAATTATTTTTTTTTAGACCGTTTTTAAACAAAACAATTAAAAAAAAAATTCCAACCAAATATACAATCAAAAGTAATTTTAAAACACCAGTTGAATATTTTTTTAACAAAAAATAATTTTTTAAACAAAAAATAATTTTTTAAATATTTTAAATAAAAAAAATATTTTCAGAATTTTTTTAATTTTAAAAATAATTTTTTTTTTTCAATAATTATTTTTTTGAATTAAATTTTAAAAAGAGTTTGGTTATGAGCTTTGAATAGAATTTTCAATAGAGTTTTGAGTGGTGTGTTTGGTTATGAGTTATAAATTTTTTAATTAAGTTCTCAAAACTCTTTTCAAAATTCATAACCAAACAACTTTTCTCACTTCAAAACTCATTTCAAAAATTCAAAACTCATAACCAAACAAATTCTCTTTTTTCAAATCATGATTCAACAACTCACAAACTCAAAATACAACTTCATTTTCAAATTATAATTCTAAAACTAAACCAAACGCTACCTTAGACTTCCATTTCACTCTACCAAAGTGAATAATTTGCACATAACAAGAATACATGATCCTAAATCTTCAGGTTACAAACATGACAATTCATGTGCAAGTTATAGAGATTTGCAATTATTCCGCACATTCAAAGTTACCGAAAGATGAAAAGCTAAATGCATGGAACCAAGCTATTATTTTTCTTAAAAATAAGCAGACGACAAAATTAGAGCCATGGCGATGGTGAAGAGCTACCAACTTGCCTGAGTAAGTGTAGTGGCGTCTGCAATAACAAAGGGAACATTCACCAACCTTGCCAATGTTTTGGCTAGTAATGTCTTCCCTGTCCTTGAAACAACATCAGAAGTGTAAGAAAGAGAACCAATAACTGAAAGTAAGGTGTCAGAAAAGTGGAAGACGTATCTAACCAAGCTTTGTTTTCCTCAATTTTAACCCTGCAAATTTAACTAAAAACCAACAATATACCAACTTCTTATATAAAAAATAAATTAAATGAAAATTAAACAAACTAATTTTTAGCATCAACTTGGATGTTCATGAAACAAGAGAGAATTGATATTTTAGAGATTTGTTATCCCTATCAAAACATGGTGGCAATAACAAATAAGAAAGTACTGTATTAGTGAAATGTGTATAAAATGGATCTTGACACTTAGAACTACAGCATCACTCTAAAGCATGGATGCTTCACAGTTTTAGATCAACCAGCATTCACAATAGATGTTTGCAACTAAGATATCCAATATGATACTCATTGCTCATGTAGTGAGTGTATGCACCATGAGAGAGAGAGAGAGATTTTGATGCAACACCTGGCACCAGTCTTGACACTTATAGTTATCAATAAATTTCAAACCACTAGTCTTTATTAAATTCGAAGTTTTACTTAAAGATTTTTTACCAAACTTCAATGTTCTGGCAGAAAGTATTCATATTTAAGTACAAACATCAGTGGAGCATTAAGGAAAATACGACAGCATATTACCTGAACCTGTTGGCCCCATTAGAAGAATGTTACTTTTCTCAAGTTCCACCAAATCATCATCAGAAGCATCTGTTTTTTCATTGACTGAATCTCCTGCAGGCCTAACTTTCCAAATTGTAGTGACAAATGTTAGAAGTATATATCATCATAAACGTGGCCATCAGAATTACAAACCAAACAGACAAATAAACAAACAGAACATTGGCCCCGTCAGGGATATAAGGAGATCGAAAGAGTAAATTTCAATGTCCATAATTCCAACATACGAATTCATATGTCAAATAATTTTATTTCTTTCCAAAAGGTTTATACAGGAAAGAAAAGATAATTGATGTCCACCAAAGGTTTAGAGCTAACCACTTCTGTGAAGGGTCATTAGAGATCCTCTTATAATGATTGTAAACTGCAACGGAAAGCACCTGTAATCAGCACATATCATATAGTTAGAGAGCTCATACAAGGCAAACTCTTTCCAAACAAAAGAATCGCATTAAATGACATTATAAACAGACAGAAATCAAGCAATTGTACATTACACATACAAATCAACTCAGATAATTGTTTTACAATACAAAAAGTCCCTGTAGTTGTGTCAAGTGAAGTATTCAATGCCGGACCACTAAAAAAGGCAATGACAGAAAAGCCCATCAAAGCAAATAGCAAAAATTTCATTAGATGGCACAACAATCAGAAATAATTGAATTGAATACAAATACTTATCTAAACATAAGGAATATGAAAAGAAACAAATGAGTGTCCCCCACATAAGCAAATTCCTTTTTAAGATATATTTCATGAATTGCATTTCAATCCAACATCTTCACATTAGTAATCAAAACAAACAAAAACAAAAAAAAAGTTCAAATTCAGCATGTAACAACAATAGCTGTGAATCAAATTAAAATTCAGAATCACCTTCTTAGCTCTCTCCTGCCCAATTACAAACTTATCAAGCCCTCTACATATCTCTTTCGGGGTCGGAAAACTACCACCTAAATTCAATCCTCCCCAACACCCATCTTTCGAATTGGCCCCATACCCTCCACCCGAACCCGTGCTCCCACCACCCCCACCGCCACCATCGTTCGCCCGAACCAGTTTCACACCAGGCCGGACCGCAATTCCATCCCCAGGAGGTTGCCAAACCTCAGGGGGTTCCCCATAAGAATTCAATATACTAAAAACTTGCCCAGATTTCCTCCTATTCTTAACATAACTAGGCCAAAACCTCCTACTATCGCTAATCCCAGTGCCCTTTTCGACGAATTCGCCGCGAAGCGAAACGGGTTTGAATGAGGTGAAATGGTAAGGGGTGTTGGAGAAGTAATCGTCCCATTTGGTTCTGGAATTGGAATAGGAACCAAGCACACGACCACAGTGCATGTGGTTGAGAATAAAGTATCTGAATTGCGAGACCGTGAAAGAAGCCGTGTCTCTGCATGATTTTGATCTTAGTGCAGCAGCCATGAGTGGGATTGTCCCGGAAACGGAGAGAAAGTGAAAGGAAAACTGAAAAACTCAATTATAAAGACAGAATTTTTGACGCTCATGTAGTGGATGAGAAGTGAAATTGAGACATGGGTTCAGAGGATTGGAGGTGAATTCAAGTGGGTCTTGGTTAGATTTTTAAGATTTGTCTTTAAATGAGGATTTCTAGACGGTTGAATAGATATTGAACAGAGTTATACACCGACGTAGGACAAACAAAAAGGAAAAAAATGTGAGAACACACAATGATGATTGGAATATCTTTGTATTGATGATCATACTTGTTTTTATTTCTATTAAGTTAGTTTTTATTTTTTTAAAATTTAAATATCAAGATGATTTTAATATTATTATTAAATTAAAAATTTTAAATTTTAAAATATTTCATATATTAAATGTATTGATTATATATTAAAAGTCTAACAATCACATATTATATGATTATTATTTAAATACATAATAAAAATTAATTTGGTGAAATAAATAAATAAATGCATAAAATATTTATTAATTTTATATAATTTTATCTTTGGTGGGTAGAAATAATTTTTAAAAATTTAAAAATATTTTTTTGACATTTATTTTTGTCAAATTAGTTTGTGTTTTATTAAATTGACGACTTTATCCTTGAAATTGAGCAATGGTAGAGAAGCTTGAATTTGCTCGGAGGAGCATTGGCAGAGAGGCCATTTGAGAAGAGGGCTTGGCATTTCAAGAGCATTGGCCAGGGGCAGAGTTTAGAGACGCTCAGAGGAGCTTTGGCAGAGGCCATTTTCAGAGAGGGCATTTTAGAAAAGTTGCCAGCAGAGAGTGCAACAAGTGGAGTGCATTTCAACTGAATTTGAGTAGAGAACAATGAGGGGAGCTTGGCTAAAAGAGTTAGACCTTGAAGGTAGGTCATCAACACAGAGGTGTTGGACTCATCAGAGGAGCCGGTACACGCACAGCAGCATCAGCTTTGTGCTACATCAACGAGGACGTTGATGGTTGGAGTGGAGGAGAGTGTCACGGGTTGCCTTGCAAGGCTAACTCCGTGACGTTTCGCTCGTGATGGTGTGGCCATTTGAGTGCTCAAGAGTGGCCATTGGAAGTGCCCCCAACGTGGCCTAACTTTGGCTCCAAGTAGCCCAAGGCATGTAGGCCACTAATAGCCAGCAGACGACAAAGCCACAGCCCATGCCAATAGCCAACCAACGCTGCCAGCAGCAGCAGCAGCCAGCAGTGGCAGCCAACAGTACAGAGTTTTGGCGCGTTGTTTCGGCATTCAAACGAAGGAGTTTCGGGCTGAAATTTTTACTGGAGATAGATCTTAGGGGAAGTGTTTTCTCGACCAAGTTTCGTGATTTTTCTCAATTTGTGAAATTTATGAAAAATCATTATGACTCCTCGGACATGTATGATGTTTCCTCCTGCTAGAGGGCAAATTGCTTAACAAGCATATATAAGGGGCAAGGTGTGCTACCTACCTACCTCCCCGCCCAAACTGGGCTTCAAGTGAGCAACCTTGGGGCAACTCAAGGGCGGGCTTTAGGCATCTAGAGGGGTGTCTAGAGTCTCCACATGGGTTTGGGAGCCCCGTGGACGGTGCAATAATGTAAGCACTGCGCGTGTCCTCCCGAGAGGGAGGCCCACTACGTTGTTTCCATTATGCCACACAATATGGCATCTTTGGGACTCGTTTTGGACCGAATGGGCTATCGAGGCACTACTAAAGGCCTCGTGTGCCAACTCTAGTGCTTGGTTTGGGTTCAACCTTGCACAAGGGGATCCCGTGGCTTAAGCCAAGCGGTTGAAAGACGACACCGCATATGTGGGCTATCGAATGAAGGCATCAAGCTATGCAATGACTACGTCCATTGAGGGACTACATTATGCTACAAGCAAGCTACGGATTGAGATGTTGCCTTACTCATGCTACACGTTGGTGTAACGCTAAGGTGCGCAATGACCTTAGGCGGAATCTAACACACGTGTTGGCACGAGAACTACACCGTGGGCGAGAGATTGACCCTTGGTGGCTTGTGGGCTTCGCATGACCAAGTGGCCATCCAATATGCATCTATTGAGGCGTGCTAGACCCTACGACACTTCGAAATGCTACTAAAGACCCAACATGCAACGTTGGCTTGTCAGCTAAGTTGAGGACCTTTACTAGCACATTGTTGTGTGGCTAGGCACCTTGATGACATGAACTTAAGTTGGGCAAGCACCTTGCTTGAGATAAGCTTGGCGCTATGAAGCGACTTATGCCGTGCTTGGTGCACTGGAGGTGTCAGGCCTACTTGTGGCATCCGGGTGAAGACGGAGCTTCCTTGTGAAGTTGTTTTGCTTGACAAAGCATTGGGCCCTAATGTTCAAATGGGTGAGATCATCAACACTCGATTTGTCAATGAGCTATGGTGGGCTTAAACTTGGTGGAGTTTGAGCGCCACACGGGCGAAAATTGATCCGCTGCGCCTCTAAAGGAGTTGACCCGTGACAGTTTGTTTGGAACAATATTCAAAATTCACGGTCAAATATGTCACAATTAAAAAGTTATGGACCAAAGTAACACAAACTCCAAACTATAAGGACGGTTAGTGTAATATGCCCTAATTAATATGTATAATTAAGTGATTAACAATAACCAAATTTCCTAATTACTTGATCGTTGAACTAGTAATCCTTCTAATCCTCAAAATATAAAATAGATGATACACTGTAGCATTTCGTTTATTTTTGGTAAAAAAATTTTTTTACAGAATTTTTAAAAATATATATTTTTCATAAAAAATATTTTCTTATATTTGGTTGCGTTTCTAAAATTAATGTATTAATAGTTACATTAGTGATGGTAGTAATGGGAGCAACAAATTGAAAATGGAGGTGGTGGTGGTGGTGGAGGTGGAGATGGTAACGATAGTGGTGTTGTGGTGGTGATAGTAGTAGTGATGGTGTGGTGGCGGTGAAAGTGGCCACGGCAATAATAAAAAATATTTTCTATTTAAATAAAACTTTCAATTCAACATATAAAACATTTTCTGTATTTTTTTTGTTTTGGCTTATAAAATCGCAAAAGGTCCATTTTATTTGTGTCGAAGTAATAGAAGGATGGCTCAGAGTTATTATGACTGAAACTCACACCACAACATTTGCAATGGATTATGGCCAACTTCTTAACCACATTTTGCTTTTTGTGCGCATTATATGTCAAAGTTGTCGAAGCAGTAAGTTTTTATTTTTCTGTTATTTTCAATTAGTCTTTGTGTCCTTTATAAAGGGTTCATTTGAGATTTGAGTTCTCTTTTTAATTTTTTGAATTTTTAATTATTTTAATTTGGGATTAAAAAGTCTCATTTAAAATAAGTTTTTTGACTTTTTTTTATTTTCGTGAGAGAAAAAATAAAATGATTATAATTTAGATGTGATGTTTTGTCTTATTAAGTTAAAAGACCTATTTTATTTTTTTTATAACTAAAACAATTAAAAAGTCAAAAAACTTGACATGCTAAATGAAGGCAAACCTAGCAAATTACGTGTGTTAAAACACCGGTTAAAATCATCTTTCCTCGAAGAATTTACGACGAGAAACTGAAGTTTTGAAATAGTTGCTGGAGTAAACCTATCAATGTTAGGATGACTTTTTGTTTTGCACCTAGAGAAGGTTTTTTTTTTTTTTTTTTTTTTTTTTTTTTTTTTTTTTTTTTTTTTAATTATGTAATCTAGTCTAGAAAATAATAAGCATGTAACAAATTAAAAATTAGAATAGAATTAGCATGTCAAAATTATAACATCCATAAATTATATTTTATAATCTTAAAATTCATGCAAATCATGGTAGGGGAATGATGAACCATACGCATAAAACAAGATCATACTAATACAATTAAGTATGCAAATTATGATAGAGCATTCTAATTAAACCAAGCAATTAGAGAATAACATTGCATAATTTACAATCATTGAAATAGTGAGCAATTCTGCAACAGTTCCTAGTAATATTATACAAAGCTAATCTAATTGTCTATATAAATCTATTCGATCAATTTTATAGAAAATATATAAAAATCTATTTTAAGCTTGTTATCCAAATTGTGAAATTAAATAAATAGATTTATGAAGAAATCAAAATTATATACCAAGAACATATGCTGACAATTACAACTAAATTTCAACAGAAATACACAAAACAATAAAATGGTAAAGAAACCAAACCGAAACCTGCACGGTAGCAGTTTCCTTAAAACAGATTTCGCCGCCTCACGGGTCGAGTACTTGAGGAATCCCGGCGTCTGTCTCCCAGGATACGACGGCCAAAACCAGCTACGGCAGAAGCACTCTCTGTCTAGCTTAGCGAACAAAAACTGTGGCAGCACTCTCTCGCTGCAGGAACTTTCTGGCAAACTGACTTGTAAAATAGAAGCAAAAATTTCTACATAGAGACTTGACTAGAGGGTCTCAATTTATACATGTATAAAGGAGAGAGGAAGAGCCACCAGCCTTTATGGCTGGTTATTAAAGCCCTATTAACCAGGATCCATAACCCCTTTCCAGAAAGATGAAAAGTTTGGATGCCCAATAGAATTCACACCCTTTAGCCAAGAAAAAGGATTTAAACTCTTTAAAATCCTATTCATGAATCTAACATCATGAGGCAATTTCTTGACAATTTCTTATTCAATTCTTAATGATTTTTGACCCACTTGGACCCAACACAAAAGATGGTTGAGACCCACTTTAATATTTAATTAAAGTCACTAAAAAACCATGTTTTCTAACAACCATAACATACTCGTTATATGAAATACAAATTTGTCTATTTAACAAAGTTTTATTTGTATAATTATTACAGTGAAGTGTACTAGTTATGCAAATATTTTCAAGCACTTGCCATGTTTTGGGAACTAAAGAAAAAAAGGCTGCGTTTTGCAGCTTGGGCTAAAAAAATCAAAATGACCTTTTTGTCATCAAATCATTTGGAAAGATATCTACAAGCCACTTGTAAAATTACAATTACATCCTTTATATTGTTTAAATGAGTCACATGAGTGAAAGTAATTAATTATTTTCTAACATGAATGAAGGTATTTTGATCATTTGATTATGATGTGACAGTATAAACAGATATTAAGTAAAAAAAAAAAGCCAAAAAATAACTTTTTAACAACTTCCTAAATGACTTTTAAATATATAATTATTTGAATTTTCATTTTTTTCACCAAATTAGTTTTTGAATTTTTTTTAAAAACTATATTTTGAAAACTCAACCAAACAGTTCTAATTTAGATGTTTCACACAAACATAAATGAGGTTTGACATTTAGATGAAGACTGGAGAAACCAATATGCGTATAGAATCCAAAGAGACTGAACAATCTCTTTGGGTAGAAAATTTAATAATTATGTGGTCTTGAACATTAACAACTACACACCTCATGCATTTTTGCAAAATCAACTATGTTTTTCAACCCACATTTATCAGGAAAGAAAATTACATCCGAATCAATTCAAGATAACAATCAAATAGATCTCTTACATTCTTTGATCAGTACAACACACAAGTTAACCACAAGTTTACAATGAAATCAAGATGGCAGTTTTGTACATTGATCAATAACGGCATTTTTTAAATAATAAGCACTTTACATTCTGTTCGAATTGAGATTAGGTTACTCCTACACCTTTTATTGCTCCAACATCTTAACCCGTCCCATCAGTAAGAATTACGTGCCACACAAAAAGGTAAAAGTGTACATGTTGGTACTGAATGCATATTAATGTTGAAATATCTCAACATGTTCCATAGATTAAGAAACCTAAAATCATAGCAAGCAAAACTACTCTAAGCTAGCCAACCAAACCAATCTTTTTTCGGGAGACATTGCCATAAACATCTCCTTCCAATCCAAATCCTTAAACATCTTGATTGCCTTTATGTAGGTACTTGAATCCACTCCTTCAATCGCTTCTAGACACTTGACACAATTGGTAATTGAGAATGGACTAGCTTGGGAAGATATCTCAAGTTTATGGAAAGTTGGGGCCATTACCTTACTAGTTTCAGCCCATTTTCTATCAGACATCCCCGAGGGAACAGTAGTTTCTGTCCATTCCTTCAATGCCTCACCCTCCACTGCTGTTCTTGCCTCCCTCTTCCCTCTAAGATGGCTCGTAGGAGTGGAAGATCGTTGGCGATGGCGTCTAGTACTTTGCGAGGGAAAATCTCTACCATTGCTACTGTCACATGGGAAAGCGGATGGCATAGCATTTGTTGACCCATCTTCTACATTCAATTTATATTCACTGACCATTGGATACTGAGCTAATGGAAATACATCTTTGTAACTTGATGTTGGGTCCCCAAATATGATTCCTAACTCATTAAACATTGGGCACCCTTTTTTCCGAAATCTCTTCACATTTTTGTTTCCCTATATTAAAAAATACACAACTGTGATTCAGTGAAGTTAAAAGAAAAGTGGCTTCAATTTCAAAATTTTAAAATTTAAGTGTTCACCTTTATGTATGATTCCCAAACAGCATCAGTTGCAGGTACAGTACTGAGCATGGGCTCCCAAGTAAACCCAGGTTCCTTCAACAACTTACTAAAATCATTAAAACGGGTTCTCAACTGGTTAAACTTATTTCTAAACTGAGAATTGTTGTACCTCTTGTTGGTTTTCTCACAGAACTCTTGTTCAATTTGTTTCCAACCTTTCCTTAAAAAGGTGGTTGATGATCTATTCCTTTTGTGAACCTCTTTCACCATTAACTGAATATAAAGTTCCTCCTCTAAGGCTGTCCATGTTGCAGGATCGGGCTCAATTTCTACTTCATCTCCTTCATTTAGTTTAAGTGCCATCAAAATAGGAATATAAAAACATATGTAAGCCAAAAAAAAGTTGATCAAAAATCATACCTTAGCTCAAGAAACATCAAAATAGTAGAAGGTTGTGTATTAAGATGTCTGAAATATGGTGAATAAATCGAGCAGGGCTCATCAGAGTATGATAATTACTCAACTCAGGACCACAAACCGAACAATAAAATTATAACAGGTGTTTGCTTCATTGGACTAAGGCATGGGATTGGACTCTATATCCAATAGATTTACCAGTCCATCGTTTGGTTAGAAAAATGAGAGTCGGACTAATAGTCAAATACATATCATTTCTAGTCAAATATTCCAGTGACTATTTATCTCAGGCCTAACAGTCCATTGCATTCCAATCCCAAGTTAAACTGTGTCCATAAAATTCAGACTATCTCAACCAAATGAACTAAGACTGATATATCCAGAGTGAGAGCAACAAACCTCATGATAGTTTCCAAAGCAAAAAGCTACGAGGTCCCAAGGCCAGTCAACTTAATTATTTCTGACAAAACCACCAGCATCATTAGATTAAAAACAAAATACCAGGAAAATAAGGATTGCAGTAACTTTACATGCATGCATATGACACCAGTAAAAAATATCAAGGAGACCTTATTCTTTCTTCAACGTTAAGGATGCATTCGTTTCATTCACTCCAGATCTATCCTTGGAGGTTTTTGCAACATTTTCCCCTGCACAACATTTATTTTGTTTTTCTCCCAAATATTTTATAAAAAAATCTGCTAACCTTTGATCCAAAACATAGGTTTGATTGACTCAAACAAACAAACAAAAATCCATTTAAGTCTGGAAACAAAGAAGCCATGCAGCAATCACGTGAACCGCAAACCAACACTAGCAGTTGCTCCATGCACATCTCCTGCAGAACCCACTTAGTTTCACAACTGAATTACGAGGTGATGGGGGAAAGAAGAAGAAAGGAGAATGAAAGATATAAAAGATGGGAATCAAAGTTTCACTATGGGAGGTAAAATTAGCAGCAATTGAACAAGGTCCAGCTCGGATGAGGTGACAAGATCTGCATGCGCAGATCCAAGCAGGGCACATGGAAGAATCTGAGAGACCACTGCAAATATTCCACCTGGCTTCTAAGAATATAAGGAGTATATAAAACTAACCAATTGCCATAACAAACAACTTGTCAACATAGAAGTAAACATAAGCCAAGAGATGGGACAATGGTGGTGGGGGCTATACATTGCATTTGCAATTTTCAATCATTGGCAGAGTTGTATAAAAATGTATAAGTGAGTGTATAAATTTAAAATTATATAAAAAAAGTCATTGGATTATCTAGGGGGATGTGGCTAAGAAACGCAGAGAATAGGAAAAAGACAGGGCGATAGGAGCTATGGGTAAAATAGATATTTTCAAAAAAAAAAAATTTGTTGACATCATCCAATTTTGTGAGTTGACCTAAGTCTTTATGAAGCAGAAAATTGTAATGTGGTTTAAAACCTCAAGGGGCAGGATGCATTTTCCATAACCACAAGGGGTGAATTTATAATTTACCCAAATATTTTCTAAATGAAAAGAAAAAATGAATAAATAGAAGTAACACCAATATAAAAGTTTTGAATATCCTCTCATGGCTATAAGCCTGAAACTAGGAGCTCCTTTGATATCATATGCTATTCTAACGAAGGGATTTTGAAAAAAATGCTGTCACTTATTTGATGATGAATTCCTCGGCTATACATTGCATTTGCAATTTTCAATCATTGGCAGAGTTGTATAAAAATGTATAAGTGAGTGTATAAATTTAAAATTATATAAAAAAAGTCATTGGATTATCTAGGGGGATGTGGCTAAGAAACGCAGAGAATAGGAAAAAGACAGGGCGATAGGAGCTATGGGTAAAATAGATATTTTCAAAAAAAAAAAATTTGTTGACATCATCCAATTTTGTTAGTTGACCTAAGTCCTTATGAAGCAGAAAATTGTAATGTGGTTTAAAACCTCAAGGGGCAGGATGCATTTTCCATAACCACAAGGGGTGAATTTATAATTTACCCAAATATTTTCTAAATGAAAAGAAAAAATGAATAAATAGAAGTAACACCAATATAAAAGTTTTGAATATCCTCTCATGGCTATAAGCCTGAAACTAGGAGCTCCTTTGATATCATATGCTATTCTAACGAAGGGATTTTGAAAAAAATGCTGTCACTTATTTGATGATGAATTCCTCCCTGAGGAAGTGGTTGTCAAGCATATTATTGACATGGTAAGATTCCGCATGTTATCTGTTTCTAACCTGAAAAGCCATCCAGGTGACAGGTGGTTCCTTGAAAAATGGAAATTTCCAGATTCAATATTGAAGAATAGCCCCAATCATTTGGGAAGAGAAATGAGGGATGGGAGTTCATTAAATGTGGGTTGGGTGATTGTGAAGATATATTGAATGTTTCCAAATGTTTTGTTTATTGTGCAGGTTACAAGGAGCTGTTATGAGTGTTAAACCATTTCATAGAGGTTTGAGTGTTGTGAGGAAGTTATACTACACACCTCTCACTGACCATATTGAGAGTGTATTGATTAACTATTTATATATATTTGTATATATACTCTGTTTTGCAGGTTGCATGAGGCTGCTGTTTTTTGAGTGTTGTGAGGTCTCATATTGTGGGTTGAGGGAATTGTGGAACCAATCAATTATGAATTTTGGAGACACTTTGGAGGGACGTGATATTAAATAGGAGATCTTTGTCAAAAAGAAAAAAAGAAAGACCCACTTCTGCTGCTGTATATAGTGTATGAAGTGAAAATGAAATAGACAAAAATTAGGAGCAGTGAAATAGAACTACAATTTTTAAATTCAACTATATTAAGACTTAGTGATAATTTATCTAAAAAAAATTAACTTTGTTATTTTTGTAATTTGAAGGCGAAATTATCTTTTTACACATAATCCCATGAGATTTGATTAGCAATCCCACGTCCCTTATGGAAAAGTTAATCTCCCCATGGGAGGTATTCATAGTCCTATGGTGTTGAGATATGATTTACATCTCAGGTTTTTTCTCATTATCTTATCATTGTTTGTATTTATCCGTATCATATAAATTGTATAGATAGAATAAAATAGTCCAAGTAAAAATGTAATACAAACATTTGTTTGTATTTATCCTTATCATATAAATTGTATAAATAGAATAAAATAGTCCAATTAAAAATGTAATACAAACATTTCTTGAATTTGATTAATATACAAAAAATTGCTTCCAGTCATTTTTATCAACTAAACAAGGGTATATAGGGCCTAGGGGATTTCTAGTCTAATCCTCCCACCCTCCCACCTATAGAGTCAAATAAATATGACCTTAATGTACCATCTTAGAGCATTTACATTAGTCCAACCAAATGTAATTTTTAGTTAAATATAACCACTAAATCATAAAATTCTTACTCCATCAGTCTCAACAAATTATTTCTAAACTAATTTTCGGTTAACTTTTTTACAGTATCTCTATTCATCAGTTATTCAATAGTTTATCATTTTTTTTGATAGATTTGATCTCAATTTTTTTAAGTACTATTCATTGAAAAGATATTTAAATAAAAAAAATGAATAAAAATAAATATTTTAATGAAATAGTATTTTAAAATAGAGAGTTTGAGGGAGTGTTTAAAATATATATATATATGTATATATATATATATAAAAGTGCTTTTTGGGTTAGAATTTGATTAAAAATTTATTGAGACGGATGCGGGTGTGCTTATGTGTTAATTCATTATTGGTGTAATGGACCTGCCACTTATGTTTATGTCAAATGATGTGTTAATACATAAGGTGATATAATGAAAGTGGTATAAAAAGGTGGTAAGAGTAATAGTATATGGTGATCATATTTTTGTTATTTTTAATTATTTTATATAATATAAATATATATTTATGTGGATTCCACTCTTATATAATGTATACTTTAACACACCTTAGTTATATTATTAGAGTACACATTTATTCTCTACACTAACAAACACTTACTTTGATGTGCAATATATATATCGTACTTAACTCTACACAAAACTACGTAAATTTTTATTAACTTACATAAATAATTTTATAAAAATACATAAATTGAATACAAATTCACATAGGTTTAGAAAATACACAAAATTATTATTGCCACAACCTATTTCAACTCTTCCCCTGTCCCTTTGTTTTTTGCACGTGAGTCCACCCACATATACGAGAGATAACAGTTAACAAAATCTATAAAAGGATCCAGATCATAAAAAGTAAACCAGTTAACAAAATTTTTAAAGAACATTCAGATCATAAAAGTAAATTTAGAGTGAGACACCATTGAAGGCACAACACTGTCTCTAATCCTTTAGACAATACCAACACCATCCTTTAGTTGCTTAAAAAATCTATATACAAAAACAAAAAAAAATAATAATAATAATAAAAAAAAAAAGTGGTACCATTTCTCACAGGCCAATGACCCTTACATGACTCTTTATAGACTAATAAACAAAAGAAAAATATTTGAGGGCCCGAAATGTGAGGCTCGAATGCGGCTCGAACTTTAAAACGACGTCGTTTTAAGGTTCAAATTTTTTTTTTTTTTTTTTTTCTTCCTCTTCTTTCTTTTCTTCTTCTTCTTCGTTTTGAACCTGAGAAGCAGAGGCGAGAGAGAGAAACAGAGGGGAGAGGCGGGAGCTCGTCGTCGCTCGTCGGCCGATCGTCACAGCTCATCGGTCGTCGGTCGTTTGCCGATCGTCGCCTCCGCCTCCGCCCGCCTCCGCCTCTGCCTCTGCTTCCGCCTCTGCCTCCGCCCGCCTCCCTCCGCCTCCGCCTCCAGCCCTATTTTTAGGGCCCCCTCCAGTTCTGCTTCTCCTTCTCTTCTTCCTCATTCTCTTATTCTTCTTCTTCTTCCTCCTTCTTCTCAAATTCGAGCCAAATTTGGCTCGAAACCCTTTCGGGCTCTGTAGCAGAGCTGTTGTGAAATAGTTTAGTGATCCTTTTGTTGGTTTTGAAAGATATTTTGTTTTTAATTTTACCCATTGATTTAGTTGTTGACTTTTTGTTGATTGCCTATTTAAATTTATATCTATTTGTTTAAATTTTATTTGTTCAAATTTTCTATTTATTCAAATTTATATCTATTTGTCCAAATTTTTATCTTTGTAAGTTTTCTATCTATCCAAATTTTATCTGTGTAATTTTTTTATCTGTTTAATTTTTTTTTACTATCTGTTGAAATTATCTATTCAATTTTTTTTATTTTTTCCTATCTGTGTGACATTATCTGTTAAATTTTTTTTTTATCTGTTAAAATAACAATTCAACAAGCAATCACAATTTTTTTTTTTATCTGTTGAAACAAGAGATGATCTGTTTGAAAGTGGTGATGATCTGTTAAACTAAAAACAAAATAATAAGATTGATGATTCTTAGATTTTCAACAAAAGAGACCACTTACTTGCTTGGATTAGAGAGAAGAATTTTTTTTGCTTAAAGAAGTGATTTTTCCCCTTAATTATTGTCGGAAGTATGTATATATGTATAATTCTCATCAGTAGCAGATCATAAATTTTAATAACTTGAAAGTGAAAGACCACAGGAGATGATCAACATAGCTAGTTATCTATTCAGAGAAGTAACTTTACATATTCTGATCACATCGATCAAAAAAGGAACCAGAGATCATATTTTAGATGCTTATCATCAAACAAACAACAACTAGTAGAGTAATATCAACAAGAAACAAAATAGGTGTATTTATTTGAACGGACTGGATAAGGAATTATTGGAATTTACCAGAATGTTAATTTTGAGATATATTATCTCCGGACTATTTGATTGGGCTAGATTTACATTCCATGTTTGTTTAGTCATGAGATTAGATATCAAGAAATGACTATTTAGTTGGACAGGATATGAATCTTAGGTTTGTTTGAGATATTATGAAAAAGGATAAATGTTCAAATGACTATTTTACCATTTTCAATTATTTATTAAGTAATAGCAATATTAAACATATCTTTAATATTTTAATTATTTTCAATTAGATTAAATAAAAATTTATTTTATTTTATTTTTTACACAATTAAATAAATTTATTTTTTTTAAAATTAAATATCAATAAAAATATGTGTTATTTTTTTAATTAAAATTTTAAATAAATTTATTTTAAAAAATAATAAGATTAAATAAAACATCTATTAAAATTTAAATAATGAAAATAAATAAAATGTAAATAAAATTTTAAAATAAAGTATCAATAAAATATCTATAAAAAATGATGTAAAAAAATTAAATATATAAAACATCAATAAAAATTAAATAAAATAATTTTATTTTTAAATTGAGACATTTAAATTTTACTAAATATAATACATAATTAAATAGTAAAGAGTCAAAATGATCATTTCACTATATAATCTCATATTACTTTTTTTCCCTATTTGTGTCCCATCGTTCATGAGACACAATAATCCAATGAATTTAGAACCGATAATCTAATATAAAAATTTTAAACCAAACAACATATTATTAATCCGAATAAATTAATAATTCAACCACCCCCTCAATCTCTCGAAACAAACGCCACCAATATGATTAATGATTGCTTGAATTGAAATGGCAAATCTTCAATAAATAGTAGCAATAGGACCGTCATATATGAACAAAAAACACAAAAGAGGTCACATGCTTATCATCACAAGTGTGCATATATATATAATTCTTATCACCAGCAGATTGAAATTTCACCTCCGCCTCCAATGCCATGCCAAAAAGTACTGATCCACCACCACCATTACAGGTACGGCGGCGATGGGGTCTTCCAATTGGTGGACTTCACTCTTCGTCTGGTCCTTGACTCCTGCCGACAGCACCAACACCGATCTCTCGACGAAGTTGGCCTCAGATCTAGACCCGAAGTTGGCCACATCTCGGTGAAACCTTTAACCGAGGCAGAGACGATCCTCCATAGCTTATTGTAGTCCTTCAGGGGAAAGGAATCGAAGTTGAGCAAATACAAGGAAGACAACGACACAGGAGGTGGCTGCACCGGTTCCTTTATAGACTGCGGTGGCGGCGTTTGAACCACCGGCGAAGGATTCGGCTGAGCTAGAGATGCTTATGTTGCATGGTGGCATCGGAGAGGAAAGAGACAAGACCTAAGAGAAAGAGGGGGGGATTTCGTAGGGTTTGGAAGAGAGACAGAGAGAGCAAATTGATTGTGAGGAGCATAATCTGAACAGATAAGAACAGAATTGTTCCAAACAAATAACCCATGAACTTCTTTCGGCAGGTTGGTCATTTCGCAGAATAATGTCCTTAAGACCTACTATTTAAGCGTTTCGCTCTTTGGACAAAAAGAATTTAAAATTAGATTTATCGTCTAAGCGCCCATTTTTTCCTCATAAACATGGCCATTGCAATGAAAGTATATCATTTTTTTTGCTATACATACATCAACCACCATACAATCGTTAGCCTTGGTCCTCTCATCATCTGATTCCCAAAAGGCCCAAGTGAAGAATGCACTCTTTGGGACCGGGTTCAACCGTAAGCTGTCTTTGCATGTTTGGTTACCCTAGAATGGCTTGGTACATATGCTTGCCAGCCCCTCACAAGTTTGGATGCCGATTAGTGACTTATTTACCAAATCATGAATTTCAATTTTTTTCTTGTTCTTGTTATGACCTCCTGTAGAATCTTTTTTCAAACATTTAAACTAACCACTTTCATCTTGATTGTAATCCGGACAATTATACCTACTCTTCCAACGAAGTAGTACTTTTGCCTTTCTTCCTCACCTTTGAGAAGCAAGGCCGTGAGTTGAGATAGGGGAAGTCTTATGTTCAAAAAAACAAAAAAAAGGTGGGGAATTCTTAACTTAAGCTCCAATCAAGTATCCTGAGAACCAAGCAAGTGTGTTGAGATAGGGGAGTAATTCTTAACTTAAGCTCCAATCAAGTATCCTGAGAACCAAGCAAGTGTGTTGAGATAGGGGAGTTCGGGTGGTTTTGTCTAATGTTATATACATACTTTCCATTATCAAATCTCAGCTAAGGTTTCTTATGTCCTCAAACATTGATAGCCTGCTCTCAGCAACAAGCTACAAAGCTTAACTTTAATTGCGGGGCATTTTTATTTTTCGGAAGTGTGCTAAAGCGAATATTGCATTACCTTCAATGGGTAATTTAACTTGAAAATGAGCCTCGAACGCTCATACATGAAGATGGCTCCCAAGCATGCATCCTATTTCAAAAAGGCAAATTGTGATTCACATCTGCTATGATATGGCTCCTCAAAAATGCTTCACAAAGATGAAACAACACGACCACAAATTCTTGAGCATTTACTTAATAAACCATTTACACCACCCTTTTGTCATATGGTTGAAAAGCCAAAAGTTAAGATTTTTAAAAGCATCAACCAAAAAGACTACAAATTCAGTTGGATGCAGACCAGATAGATAATAACAGAACATCATCTACCTAAATTATGCTATTTTACAATACAAGGCAGTGCGCAGCAAAGATTGCCGATGCCTATTACATACCAAAGGCATCTAAAAAAAACATGTTCACACCAGCTATTGAACTAATTTCAGTTGTGGCTGTACCAATAATGAGAGCCCTCAGTTACAAAAAGCTGGTTTGTCTTGTGATTCGTCCTGCCCCACTGTGTTTGTCGAGCTGCAAGATTGCCACTGGAAACTTTTACAAAGAAGATAGATGATGAACAATGAACAATTTTGAAAAAAAAAAAAAAAACAATTTCTTCCATATTCTACATATAACGAAAGGTTTCTGTTGCTTTCACAAACAAACCTATGCACTTTCTTGTTCTGTCTGACGTTTATTAATTTGTTGTGAAGGGATGTGTTCAAAACTCTTGAATGTGGCTTTTCAAATCACCAACCAATATGTGCTGCTCTATCATTTCAAATATATATATATATATATATTTATATTTCTTTGAGATTTTTTGTAGGGCTGTAATTCATATGATTCATTGGTTAAACCATAACTTGTACACCCTCTTATCATCGTTACTTTTACGTAGTATTTGATGACCCAATTCAACAGTTAAAAACTAAAGGTATTAAGTGAATAAATTATGCTTAATAAACACAATTCATATTGCACCTGTTAGAAATATGACAAAATTTCAAGTTATAGACTACTTATCAAATGTTGAGTTCATGACATAGAGATGCTCAAAGCAACTACCTTTTATCCATGAAATAAATAAAACCACTTTTAACCAATCAGCATTCTTCATCCTATTACAGTACATGGTATTGAATTGGATCCAGTAACCAATATTGCGATTATGCATTCAAAATACATCACATTTTACTCACAACCAGATAAGCCATTTAAACATGGAAACAAGTGCAGGTAAAAGGAGATTAAAAGCAACAGAAATCTTACTCGAGTTTCAACATCAGATTTTTGGCTTCACTGACAGCGACACTTACAGCATACAGTGCCAACTTCTTCACCTATAAACAGATAGAATTGAATGTGTGAAACATCACTATTTATGTTAGGGGTGCAACTCAGGTAACTTCGGGTGGGTTGAGAGGTTTCCCAGGCCCAAAGTTGTGCTGAGAGTTGCCTAAACTCAATAATAAATTTAACTCAATCTAGGCCTGAATTACCAATAAATGTGTTTTTTTTTTTTTTTTTTTTTTTTGGGGGGGGGGGCAAGTAAGGTGATTAATTTGTTATAAAATTGCAAACTTTTTTTAATAAAATCATTAATAACATATAAAACAAATAATTTATATGATGAGAAAAAGCTATAGAGAAGAAATGATGCACTGTTGTGGTGGTCTTTGTCATTTTGAGTGAGCAAAAAATAAAAAATAGGGTTCTTTTGTATTACTTGTGTACATGATATATGGGATATAATTCAGGCTTTAGGTTGCCTGATGTCTCTATCCAAGCCCTCAGTGAATTCAAAAACATGTTAACCAAGCCCTAAAAAAATTCAGGCTGGACTTGGGTTGAGCCCACCCAAATTGCACACCAAGTTTATATTACATTGCATGTGACCTCTGATTAAATATGTAAATTCAAGATTTTCCCTGAATCAAAGATGTTTTCTATGCTATGCTTATATATATGTCCTCAAAAGAATTACCAGATAATCAGGTAGTATGTATAATCACTCATAAATTGAAAGATGAAATCAATTGCCCTTTTATGTTTTGTCAACCAAATTCATGATATGGTCCATTTATAACATATGTTAGGAGGCTTTCTATCACCTACTTCAGAGAAAAACGAATCTAGTTTTTCATTCACTATGTATACGTTCAATCTTTGATATGAAGACCAGGGATATAATATGTCTGCAATACAAAAATAAAAAACTAGGCTTTGAACTGAAAGAAGCACTCTTACTTGCATTTTCAAGAAACCAACTTTGTACTCTTTGCAACATTTACATTTTGTATATGATTCTGATAAAAAGAGTATGATATTTAAATAGAGAAAAAAATTGGTCATGATAAAAACTTGATTTACATGGTCGCTTTCATTGCTCATGTATATTTTTTTAAGATGACGAGGATACGATAACTGTTGATATCCACTAGGGAAGGTTTGAACTATCCTAATGCTTCAGCCTAATTAAACATATATCCATAGAATCTACCAATCAAAATACACAAGCATACTGATTAACAAACTAATACACAGCATAACCAGAATGTAGAGATCAACAGATGTTTCGTTTGGTAAGATTGATAAGATTTGTGTTAAATCATCAATTGTCTCAAGATGTTACGAAATGGGTAACCCTATTTACACCATGAAATCAAGCTACTTACAATGCAAAGTACAGGGTGATAATGTGATAGAAGATAGTCACATGTACCTCCAATTTATCTTCCTTAGATCTATGGGTTTTTGGAAGCAATCGAAACTCCTCTGTCAACCGGATGCATTCTTGGACATTGTCAGGGGATACAAAATCGAGGGCCACTTTAATGCAGGACTGGAAAAGAAACAAGAGAACAGTAAGTCCCTGCATTGATCTTGCAAAGAGGGGAGAAGTTGGTTAATAATGAACTAAAAATGAATGGGAATGTAGATAAAGAAAGTTTCCACCTTTGTCATAGGATTTTCTGATTTTATTTTTCTGAGACATAGATTAAAGGACAGGCTTTATAGGTTTTATGGAACTAGTTCAAAAGTATAATTTGAAAATATAAACTTATCCCCAAGAAAGGAACATTGCATCATAGACTTGAAACATTAACTAGGAAAGACGAAAGCAAAGGAGTTACTTCACCTGTCTGTTTCTCACTTGATGCGGGCATCCTGCAGGAATGAACACAGCCTCTCCAAGGTATTGCTCAAATGTCCAAGGTTCTATATCTGGATAAGAAAGCCAGTATGATAAATGAATGTGAGGCATATATTAAAAAAAGTTGTGAAGATAAGCAATTTCTTACTGAATTCTTCCTTCAGCTGTTTCTTATGCTTCTCATTCAGATAAAAGGTCTGGTCATGAATAGGATGAACCACCTAAGGCAAGTGTAAAAAGTCAAGTCAGAAACTCAAGTTAAATTAGTATTGTTGAACACTAACAAGAAACAATACAGACAGAAGTCACAGGACAATTGTTGATGTGGCGAAATTCTTTCCAATGCTTCTTCAAGTATTCAATTAACTTGGGCACATCCTGCCTACGGAATATGTCCCAAACGGCACTTCCTTGTTGTATGACCTCTGAACAGTTGTTGCTTTGAAAAGTATCATCCAGTGGAAAAGAATTTGTCCTCGTTGATGCTGAACTGACAAGTCTATTGCCCAAAAAGGCTGCCTCCTTAGCATCTTCACCACTGATGGGATTCATTGTCTGCAGATCACACGGTTGACAATATTTTTGATTGCTAGAAGAATCAACATAATCTTGATTTAGCAGATCTCTTAAAACCAAAGCATCTTCTGTATCATGTTTTTGAGCACAACATGATCGTTCGGTTGCAGGACAGATGGTGTTTGCATTTATTGCGTCAAATAAAGAATTCCTATCAGCAATATCCATGTGTCTGCCACTGCACTTTTGGACAACAGATGAATTCCCATTAACAAAGTTGGTCAATATATCACATTGACCACTGTGAAGTGATGATGAGTGTCTTTGAAACTCAGGGCGTACAATATCAAAATCACTTTTCCCTTCACAATGTCTTTCTGGAAAAGTTGACCTGGATTCTTCCAATGCATGCATGTAAATGCCATTTGTCTGATCCCTTGTATTCAAATCTCCAACAGATTGCCCACTAGTATTTTGAACAGTGTGTGTTCCCCAACCAATGGAATCTAACAGGGGCAATGTTCTCTTGTCATGTTCTTCATCCAATTTCTCCAAATTTTCTGGCAAGAAAGCATCCATCTCACTGATGTCCATTTTCTCCGCATACTCAAAACCCATGTTTTCGACTTTGTCAGATTGCTTTGGTAGCATTTTATCAAGTGTGCCCAATACATCGTTTGTTCCACCATGAAGCTCAGGCAAATCTCCAGCTTCATACTTCTCCTGCAATTTTTTGATGATTTTCTGTCGCTGTGGAGCAATCTTCACCTTGGCTGTGTGTGTCAGTACATTAACCTAGACAGAAATTTAAAAAGAAAACATATCATAACCTTGCGATATGAAATAGTAGGTAGAATAGCTTAAAATTTGTCGTTATGTAACAGGACAGGAATAGGAATTTGGAAGACTGGATCTATATAGGAAGAGAATGTCCAAAATATAAGTTGAAATCAACAGAATGCCATGTACAAATTACCGCAATGTTAATAAGATCAGACAAACATAATATAAGATTCTGATCAAAGAAAGCATTTGGATTTGCACTTTCTTTCATGAGAACTTAAGACAGCAGCATGAACATGAGGAAACTTACGTGAATAAGTTTTAAAAAAAAAAATCTGCAAGCATGATCAAAACCAGGACATGAATCAATGTAAATCCCTAAGACAGAAATCTCATTTTTCCCTAAATCCCATTTAAATTCAAGTACGTACATTCCTAATAATTTACAATATCTCGTGTCAGAAAAGCATACAATACATTTAAATGCTCCCATACCAACATTTGGATACATTTCCCAATATCCTAATATTTAGGGTCTAGGAAGGTCTGATGCTTGAACACAAAACTGTACCCGACAGTCACACCCAAGTCCACGTAACATAGAAAGCAATTGTACGAGGTTATGCTATGCGCTATCTATTATCCAATCAATAAAATACAAATGCATTCACTTACAAGATTTTTTATTTGCATCATATAGTCAAAATATGTTAAAAGCCAAGGTGAGGAGGAAATACATGATGCGAGAATCATGAAGGTGGCTACAGTATTAAACAAGACTAACAAGAAAATTCAAGTAGAAGTTTTTCAGAATGAATAAGTACCGCATCAGAAATGTCGCAATGAAGTTTAGTCACTGAATCACCGCTACCAAGTTCTTCTGGAGATCCATAAGCAATATATGTTTTGGGCCCCAAGTCTGGCTTCAAAGCCCCATCAGGAAGCTTTGTAGCAAAATTCAGAAGACCAGATCTGGGATGAGTATAATCACTGTAGGGAAGCATAGCAACAAATTCAGCACCATGCCTCGGCAAACATTCCTCGAATGAATTTGTTGGCGGCCAATCCTTCAGCTTCAACATCTCAGGCCACCCAGTCTGATGCCTACGACCCTCTAAATAGCCCTTGAAGAACTGGTGAATGTTAATCTCAACCTGCAGCACAAGAATAAAATATGTAATTCCATCATGATTTTCAAGTAAAGAAAAATTTTAGCTAAAACCAAACCAAACCAAGCCAAGCCAAACTAAACCTCGTGTCACAATCAAGTGGGGTTCGCTACATGAATCATTTTTCGCCATTCCGCTCTGTCAAGGGCTTTATGCTCAGCAAAAAAAATATAAGTAAAACCACCAGCCAGAATATTCCAAAGATTCTGTTACTTGCTAAATGCAAAACACACACTACATGATTCATCAATGTACAAACTATAGCAAACCCAACATTGTTGATTTCAATCCATAGAGTTAAACTTATAGACACAATCATGCACAAAAACACAATACTCATCATCTTCTTCCTTAGCTAATTTTCAAATTCATCTTTGAATTTACAAAATAATAGATTAGACACACTGTAGTTATGATTTTAAGTTCAAGATTTTGTGTAAAGATGCATGGTTACAACAGGTTAGATTATATATGTTTAATTGAAAAGAGATAGTGAAAGAACAAAGTAGCAAGAACATTGGCTACTAATGAGATATGCTAAGCATCATTAGAGAAAAAAATATAAATGGGCACAGTGGAAAGCACAAAAGAAAAGGAGAAACCTGCATGAATCAAACACCTACCTCACACCAATCCAAGCAATCAATGGCCTTAACGGAAAAGCTCTCCTCTTTCAATTTTCTTTTTGCACTTCTGAAAGCCCTCCACATGACCATTGGTTCCCAACTAAGACCAGAAGTCTTTGCAAGTACATTTCTAACTATGACAGGTTCGCCTCTCATCCAGTGCATTTGAAAATGCTCAAACTCACTATCTTCCATGTGATCAGCATTTGGGCAGTAAAGAAAATTATCATGACTGCTCTTCCTAAAAGATGCCTGCCTTACTCCAAAATCATTCCCATCACCTCCTGCAGATCTGACAGGAAAGCACAACGAACATCCCTGAGAAAAATCAATATCTGGTGACTGATAGTTGATTGTAAGGTCCTCTGCACTCCTAATTAGGTCATCCACCCAATTAACTTCGAAGATGCGTCTCAGTGCCAATATTCCAGCACCACAACCTCCACGTCCTTTTGGAGGGCAAGGAATGCTACCATCCATCTTTGCGCTCCAATCGGGAAAGTCACCATACATATCAGCTTGATAATCATTTTCTCGGAGTGTCACTTGGCCCTCCCAAGCGTGTTTCTTTGACTTCATGTCCATACCATGACCATAAGATCGTTCAAGCAACTGATGAATTGAAGATTCTGCTTCATTACCTCCAGGCTGAAAACCTTTTCTGAGTTCTCGACAACAATTGAGACACAGGTCATATGAACAATCAGGATTTGGGCAGGTTCTGTGGAAATTGACAATGGATGTATTGCAGTTGTCACTGTTGAATAAGAATTTGTATGTGATTACAGGTTTTCATCATTATGAATAAAAATTTGGAAAGAGCAGATATGTTCTCTAGAGAAACTTACCCAAAAAAAATGTTCTCTAGAGAATCTAAGAACTTTTTTATGACAAATCAGCTGTAGCAAGATGCATGAAAAAGATAACAATCTCTCCAAGTCTCAGATAGATAAAGGATAATATTTAAAGCCACCAAAACATGATGGTAGCAAATGCAACAGTAGGTTAAATATTTGATGATATGGGATCTTTCTCCCCACTAAATGAACACTAGTGTGTGTCGATGTAATGAAACACTGTAATACAGAATGAATAAAACTGTCCGTGTCAAATGTTCTCAGCTACATTGCTAGAGATCTAGGAATAATTTTTTGCTGAAAATTTTTCAATTAATCATCAACTTCAGAGAGGAACATCTTATGTTTAATCTTCTAACTTAACGCAGATTTTGTTTCCATATGACAATGTATGAGTATTTAATGCATTAAAGAGCTACTAACGATATTTAAAGTGTTCAATGCATTAGTGATTAAAGAAATAAATCCTATCAAACAAGATATAGCATTGGAAGATGTAAATCATGCTTTTCTAGTACACAAATAACCTAGATACAATGTCAGCTCCAAGCAAAAAGTCACAGAAAGTTGCGTTCATGAAGTATGCCATGAAACTGAGCTTTATCACATCAAAAATCTACAACTCATTCAAACAAGGTATATATGCCTGTAGGCCCTGTGGATTCAGTTTAAGGATGTCAAACTCCAAACATTAATACCTTTAGACCAATGGTCTGAGTTTGGAAAGTAAAGCCTTGCATTCAAAGTGTAAACACACAAATTTGATGTATTTCATATTGAAAACGACTACATTAAAGCAAAACCAAGATTTCCTTGAATGGCCTCAGCAACAATCTTAGAATTAAAAAAGGATGACACCACCATGCTGCTAATGCCGCTGTCAAAAACCAAATCTTTTTGTATGTGTAAGTGAAAATAAAATTGATACAAGGTGGCAAAATACTTGGTTTGTCCTGGATTTCAGCTAACAATGACTATGAGATAGCTTGTGGTGCTTCCATTCCACACACTGTGAAAGGTCAAGCATTAAGTCCGACCCATGGCCACTGACAACAAATGCTAAAACACTAATGACAAAACAGCTATCCCTTAAATGAACACCCATTGTGAGCATGATAAATACCAGTAGACTCTGTCATCTTCATCAAGTATAGACTTCTCTATATCTGCTTCTGTCAATTGAATACCTGCACAACAAAATAAAGAAACACACTGGTAAATCTTCTAACCATATTTATACACAAAGAATGGGTATCCTCCATCTTAAGTGATCATATTAAATTTTTCAGTACCGCGTATGCCAGCTTCCACATCTAGCTCAGAATTCTGTTCTCCTTGGATGTGCCTGAGAAGAGGCAGAGTTTTGTGTAGCAAATAAAGCGATCTTTGCAATCTGATATTCTCATCTGCTTCTTTGAGACTAGCCTATTACAACCAAATTGTTTTGAATATTATGCAAACTGCATTAAGGTAAAGATACATAAAATAAAAGGAAACTTTAAAAATAAATAAAATAAAATAAAAATTGGAGTAACATGCCTTCACAACTACATCGGCTTGAAGGCAAGCCCTACAATTACAATTGCCATGACAAAATGGGCATGCTTTCTCAATTTCCTCCTTTGTTCTCTCTGGGTACCTATTTCATGCATTTCAAAACATTTATACAACAATTAGATATACCCAATTTATATTGACAACAAAAATCTGCAACAAAAGATTGTAAACAGCATATAAAATATTCTCCACGTCCTTTTGGAGGGCAAGGAATGCTACCATCCATCTTTGCGCTCCAATCGGGAAAGTCACCATACATATCAGCTTGATAATCATTTTCTCGGAGTGTCACTTGGCCCTCCCAAGCGTGTTTCTTTGACTTCATGTCCATACCATGACCATAAGATCCCTTGTCCCTCCCCCAGCCTCCTTTCCCTCCTGATGCCCCACACCCCCAATCCAGATCTAGATCTAGATCTTCTTCTTCCTTCTTCCCAGATCTAGATCTGGATTGGGAGTTCGCTGCAAGGGAGGGGGTCGCGGCGAGGGAGAAAAAGAAGGGGGTGGCGCCAGAGGTGGGCTGAGATAGATAAGGTTGGTGATGAAGGTGGAAAGGGGTAGAGGGCTGTCGAGGAGGAGAGGGGCTATGGAGGGGGGTCTACAGTGGGGTGGGGGGTCGCCAGTGGGGGCTGCTGAAAGAAGGGTTGCAGGGTGGGGTTCCAAAGAGAGGGTAGGGTTGGGAGTATGATGGGTGCTCCAAAAAAAAATAAAGGTGGGAAGCAATTTTAGGGTGTGGGGGCATTTAGCAGCACCCTATTCAGCCCTTTTAAATGTTTGCAAAATGGACTCAGTCAGACCATTTACTTGCATTGTCTAGCTCTTAAGCTTGAAATAATAAAGAAAATAATTATATTCAAAGAATTAGAAAATAAAGTTAGTTTCATATCTTATACATTCCATCTCTACCAAATTTGAGAAAGACTGAGATCAGTTTAAATAGTTTTACTAACAAGCAAGCTTTAGGATTTCGCATTACCACTTTGCAAGGCACTCATAGCAATAGCGTTTCCTATTGCAATTTAAACAAAAGACAACACGACTCTTATCGCTCCTCAAGCATTGGTGACACATCAAACTTCCCTGCTCTTTTCTCCAACTGTTAGCATCCTAAACCAGAAACCTTATTAGAATGAAAGAAAATCTGCAAATGCATAATCTAAAATAATCACATTTGGAAACTATTTTTTCAATATAACAATCAAAAATTCACTAACAAAAAATAAAAAATAAAAAAAAATTATTAAAAGAAAGAAAGTTAGTTATGCTTTTCCTTTTTTTGGCTCTTCCCTCTTCTGGGGAGGAAACTTTTTCCCTTTGAAGATTTAAGCTTTAAATGTTCTCTTTTTATTACTAGTAATGTGCATAAATAGAATAATAGAACCTATGAAGCACCGATACTTCAAAATGGCTGTTGTGTTTGTGTCGGACACTTATAGAACACTGACAAGCTGGGGACATGTGTGTCCACCTATGAAGCATGAACACTCCAAAATTAGTGCCGTGGCGGTGTCCGACACAAGAACACACCGGGGACACATATGAGACACGCCAGATGGCCTGTCCCTTTAATTTAATGATTTTTTTGTAGGAGACACGCGTGTCCATATGGGGACATGGCATGGGACTCAGCGGGGCTACTCTTCTTTTTCTTTTTTCTTTTGCCTCTTATTTAGTACTTTTGTGAAGAATATTGTTAGATATTGAATGTTTTCTCCTTCTCGTCGTAGGTCTTGTTATAATTTATTATGGCTTTTTTGTGAATGGACGATCTATTAATTTGTTTAAATGTAGTGATTATATTTATTGAATCAATGTTATTATGTTAGTATTTGGTAATTTTGATTTAGAATGAATGTAATATGAATCTACATAACACACACACAAATATAAAAAAATAAATAAAATAAAATTCACCGTGTCTGTGTCCCCATTTTTTGGAAATTACCGTGTCCCGTATCTGTGTCCGTGCTTCATAGATGTCCACATGGCGGACAGGCCAGGAGGCATGTTACTGTTTTTAATTACTATTTGTTGCAGTACACTTTGAGGACACTTCACAAACGCGTGTCCTGTGTTTAGACATGCTCAAGACACCTTTGTCAGTTGCTTTTTTATAATTTCAGAAAAACCAATCTGGAGTCACAGTAAAATACATGGAAATATATTTATTTTTAAAAAAAAAATTTTTGCCATATCCCCGTAGTGTCTGTCTGATTTATTCAAAATTGTCGTGAACCATGTCCGTATCGATGCTTCTTAGAACATAACAGAATACAAGCCACTGCAAAAGCATATAAAATAATGTGTGACAACTAACAAAGATAAACTCAAAGAACATTTTGCAGATATGAGCATGCATCTCCAACAAATTTCTTGCACTGATGACATGGGGTGTATTGATTTTATTTTATTGCAGTCAGTTTGCAAATTTTTATAATGGCCTATCCCCAATTGCGTTCCAAGTCGATGATGGTTGTCGTTCAATGTCCAAATATTTCTTTCTAAATGGAAAAAGTTTCTATTTTAGTATCCTAATAAATGTCCATGTAGGATGTGGATTATACATTATTGGAAATTATTCAGTAATCTTTAAGCTTTATTTGTGGTGGTCTGGAATCTAGTCCAATTGGAAAGCTTGTTGAGAAAACAACTGGCAGTTTCCATTGGTGCAGAATTAACTGGTAACTAAAATACTAAGTCAGGTCTAGATGTTCCAACAGTAGATCCACAGTATGGACTGTATCTTGCTTATAAAAAGGCACTTTTTGTCAAATAATCTGAGCTCATAATGTGCCTTTGGCATTGTTCCTGTTCAGCTTTAGTATTTTGGATGACATTTAACCCCTAAATTTTTCAGGTTCAGTATAATGTGCCCTTGACCCCTAAATTTTCCATCCATTACATAAGTAAATATAAACAAGCTTGACCAAATTAGAAATCAAGAAGAGATGAATAAGTTGGGAAGAACTCACTGACAATCCGGAATTCACCAATCCCTCCGTGGATTTTTCCTCATCTGTGTTCATGGATTTGTAACATTCATCAACATTTTTTCTTGGTCTTCCTCTACGCCTTTTTTGAGTACTCCTAGATTGAGCCAATAGATCTCCAGCATCCTTGTTTGTAACCGAATCTTTTTCCTCTTTGTTAGAGCAATTCAGGACTTCACCAGCAATAATTAACCGCGGCTTCTTCAGCTTCTTCATAGATCCCTTTGGTTGGCGAAGCTTTCGCTTTGTAGTTACATTCTCCTCTCCTTTATCATTTTCATTGGAAGTTTCAGTCACTTGGCCCAAATCTCCGTTAGTAGAAAGAATTGGTTTTTCACTTCTTGAGTCAGAAGCTACATTCTCATCTCCGCCATGATTGTTTTGGGTGCCAGCATCTCCATTAGCACTAATGATTGGATCTTCATCCTTTACACAATGAGACACAACCCCAAATCCGCCATCATTTTTGTGAGCAAATCCATCATCCTGGCTCTGATCTACTTTATCAGTAGCCATTTGAGTCTCAATCTTGGAAAGCTGGTCCACCTCTCTACAATCGTTTCTGAAGCCAACAATTTTGCCAGCCTCAGTAAAAGCAACGAATAACTTCTTTCTATTCTTTGAACCTTTAGGCCGCCCTCGCCTATCCTTCTTCTTAACAATGCCATCTCCACTGTCAATGCTGCTGCCAAATCCCCATGGCATTGCTTGATTTTCTTCAGATGGAAGAATTTTCTTCTTGCCCATTGAACCCTTTGGCCTGCCTCGCCCCTTCTTGCGCATAACAATAGCACATACACCAGCATTACCGGCAACTTTAATTCCATGAATTCTCTTCCCCTTAGGTCTTCCTACACATTTTTTTTGAGTAGTGCTAGATTGGACCAATAACTCCCCAGCATCCTTGTTCATAACCAAACCTTGCTCCTCTTTGTTAGAACAATTCAAGACTTCACCAACAATAATTACCCGCGGCTTCTTCTTCGTAGATCCCTTTGGTCGGCCAAGCTTTCGTTTTGCAGTTACATTCTCCTCTCCTTTATCATTTCCAATGTAAGTTTCAGCCACTTGACCCCAATCTCCATTAGCAGAAAGAATTGGGTTTTCACTTTTTGAGTCACAAGCTACATTCTCATCTCCGCCAACATCTACATCAGCACAAATAATTGGTTCTTCATTGTTTACCCAATGTAACACATCCTCAACTCCATCACCAGGCCCATTAGCTTCAACAATCAACTTCTTTTCATTCTTCGAGTATGAACCCTTGGGCCACCCACGCCCATCCGTCTTCTTAACAATCCCATCTCCACCGTCAACACCGCTTCCAAATTCACAACCCATTCCTTCATTTTCCTCACCCAGAGGAATTATCTTCTTGCTACCCTTTGGCCTGCCTCGTCCAATTTTCTTCCTATTCGTTGAACCCTTTGGCCTGCCTCGCCCATCCTTCTTCTTGACAACCTCACTTCCACCAACACTAACAACCGCAACTTCAACTGACATTTCTCCAAATTGCTCATGAATTTCCCTCTTTTTCCTCCAACCCTTAGGCCTCCCGCGCCCATCCTTCTTCTTAACAACCTCATTTCCCCCAACATTAACAACAGCAAATTGAACTGACGGTTTTCCAAATTCTTCGAGAGTTTCCTTCTTTTTCCTCCAACCCTTAGGCCTCCCGCGCCCATCCTTCTTCTTAACAACCTCATTTCCCCCAACATTAACAACCTCATTTCCCCCAACATTAACAACAGCAAATTGAACTGACGGTTTTTCAAATTCTTCAAGAGTTTCCTTCTTTTTCCTCCAACCCTTAGGCCTCCCGCGCCCATCTTTCTTCTTAACAACCTCATTTCCCTCAACATTACCAACAGCAACTTCAACTGACATTTCTCCAAATCCTTCATGAATTTCCTTCTTTTTCCTCCAACCCTTAGGCCTCCCGCGCCCATCCTTCTTCTCAATAACCTCAATTTCTTTGCTACCAGAGGGGTTCCCAAACTGATTAATGCCTTCAATGGGTATGCCAAACAGCCGCTGAACTTCTCCACCATCAAGAATCTTCGTTTGACCATGACCTCCTTCGCCGCCAAGACCGATCTCTGTACCTACAATTTCACCGGAGGGTCCCCGAAATGGTTCAGAACTAGGGTTCAGACTAGCTACTCCGTCGGGGGCTCTGCCGGAGATACCCTGAATTCCTTCACCCCCAAAAATTGAAACTTCATTTCCACCAAATTGGGTTCGAATCAACCCATCATAGAGAACAGGACCGCCATTCTCGACGTTGAATTCACTGAACCAAGCCAGAACCGGGTCATCCCCAACCACCGAACTCTCAACACCTCCAAACAAACCGTAATTCTCGACGGAAAGTTGGTTCGGACCTCGATTTTCACCAGCATTTCCACCAAACAGATCCTCAACCAACATCTCCGCCGCCGCCGGATTTTGTTGCGATTCCGGCATATTGACCCCCGTAGCACCGCCGCTCGCCGCCGTCTTCATGAGCCCTAAAACCACTAACTCACCCAATCAATTTCCTTTCTTTGCATCCGTAGTTGAACTTCTTCTACTCATCGTCTTCATCAAAAAACCCTAGAACACAACAGCACAAATGAAGCGTATATATAACAATTAAATGGCATTTACGAACCGCATTAAAGGAAAGAAAATAAATTAGGGGATTTTGGAACCCATCATAGAATCATAAAATGGAATTGAATTTTGAATTTAAAGTAGAATAGAAATGAATGAATGAATGAATTGATTGGTTGAGTTGCTTTGTATTCCCACTTTGATGGTTTTTTTTTTTTTTTTTTTTTTTTTTTTTTGATTTTGAGAATCCAGCACACAGTATCACTACTAGTCTGTTTGCTATACTATACTGGGTTTTGTGAAACAAGATAGATATGTACTGCAGTGTGGGGTCCACTTTTTGGGTTTATGTTGATTGGGGTCCACTTTGTCTGTCCTATATGGAAGGAGGGGAGCCAAGGAGGTTGGGTTGGTATGTAGTAAATTGTAGCTGTTCCGTTGGAGGCAGACTCTTCAGATTTCGATCACACGGTTATGATTTAAAGGAGTTCTATGATGCTGATGACGTGGGTATGGGCTGACCAAAACACTGCACGGGTGCCAGGGACACGTCCATATACACTTTATTTTGAAAGGGGGAATTTTAACAAAATTATTACTATATATGTATATTCGTGCTTGAAGGTAGGATGAAAATATTGTTAAAATGAAAATGTAATTAAATATAATGGTATTGAGTTAAAATAGAATTTATATTTGTTATAAAAAAAAAAAATTTTGAGGTGAAAATATAAATAAATGATTTGTATGGTTTTGAATTTTTAAATAAATCTTATAATTAGATTTTTTGTCAAACTTAAATTTTATTTGGTTGTATATATTAAAAATAATTGTTATAAATTTAAAATCCAAAGCTTACTTGGTTTTGGAGTTTTCAAAAACAGTTTTTAACTTTTTAATTTTTAATTTATATTTTATTATTTTTAGTGAGCTTTTTAAATATTTTAATCAATATTTTTTCACTTTTTAATCCACTCAATCTAAATACTTTGCAAAATTATAAAATTTAGAGAGATGTAACTTAATAAAAAAAATTAGACCCTCCTTATCTGTACTGCAAACTTAACGATAAACATATAAAAACTGTCCAATTGAATTTAATAATAAGTTTTGCTAGAAATTTTTATTTTTAACAATAAGCAAGTTTCAATAATATCATTGTGATTGATATAGTATTTGAACTTAAATTCTCAACGCAAAAAAAAAGATGCGTTTTTGTTCGTTAAACAGAAATTTAAATGGCAAAAAATGGCGGTGTATATGATTAGTAGTGGTGGAGGCATGATGAAAATTACTACAATTTATCAAGAAAACGTGAAAATAGTGATGACACAAATGCAAACAAAGACCATATCACCAAATATTTACTATTGTAGTATTTTTATTTTTTTAACCCACCTGCAATTTGCAACAGAAAATAAGCACTTTATTACCCCAGCCAATAACAGTACCCAAATAAATTTCTATATTCCAAATTTTTTTAGAGAGTGAGTTTTGGTTGAAACAAATAAGAGAGATCTCATGCCTATAGTTTTGCATCAATTTTAATCTAATGGTTGAAATCTACCAATTTTTATGGTTTGGTGGTCACTTTACAGTGCATAAAATTAAATAAATAAAAAATAAATAAATTGTACGCTACTTGGTAAATAAATCAATTTAAACATAGATTTTCAAAATTTATAGGTAAACAAAATAGTGAAAAGTAAACACATAAATGCTACGTAAAATTCAAGCGCAACAAAAATGTAAGATTTTAAACAAATAATAAAATGTAAGTCCTACAACACATAAACATATCATAAAAACCAAACGAAATACGCCAGCCAGTGCTTAGAAAAAAATAAACAACAAATTAAGCACCAGCCGGTGCTCTACAATACAAAGAAAATGCCAAATAACAAATTAAGCACATCAACCAATGTTTTGTAATACAAAAAAAATGCAAAACAACAAATTAAGAACATCAACCAATATTCTACAATACAAAAAAAAATGATAAATAAATAAAACACACTAGCCATGCTTTGCAATACATAAAAAAAATGATAAAAATTGTGTAATGAACAATTATTTAAATAGATTAATACGTACACAATCCAATCCTATATGAAAATAAATTATTAACTTAATATAAAAGCAACACCCTTTCTGATAAAAATATATATGAAAGCAAAAATTCAAATTCAACCAAATAAAAATATGATTAGTTTTCTTTAATCTAATTCAAGAGGATATTAGGAAGAAAAAATAAAAAATAAATTAAAAAACTATATCACTTAGTGTGTTACATTTACAAAAACAAACTCATAGCATAAGTCAATAATTCAAATGAATACTATCTAACTTACATCTAAACTTGGTTATAAATTTCACATAGATAAAAAGCTTTATAAAACTATTGTAAATAATAAAATTCACATCGTTAGGAAACTTTAAAAATCTAGATCGTAGCTAACATATGTATGCTTTTTACAAAAATAAATATAATCTTCAAACTTGTCTTTTCTTAGAATTCCTAGGAGGGTCTCATCACTTTCCAAAATTTTTTTGTATCAACTTGTATGTATCTCCAGTGAGGAGCATGCATGACAATCTACTAATTTATGAAAATAAAAAAGTTAGTATATTGATAAAAGAAAATCTATATATATATATATATATATCAAAACACATTCAAATTGAAATTACCTTGTTACATCCCCATCAAAGCAATCTAGTTGTATTTATCTTTTTGAGCTCCATATATTTTTTAACCTAATCCTACAAAAGTTGGCATATATAGTAAAATATTTTTAAAATAAAAATTTGTAATCAATAGAAGCAAATTTATCAATAAATAAATTGTACCTTTTAACAAAAGTGATTTGATCCATAAGTAACACTATAAAAAAAAAATTAAGATAAACAATATTTGTAGTAGAATCTGACTCATTGTTGGGAATGAGGACATTTATACGATCAAAAGATGTGCATCTAAATAAGGCCACGTACAGTTGCCCATGATTAAACACTAGTGTGCACAAATCAACTCTAACAAATTTCACAAATTGTCCTTGAGATTTATTAATGGTCAGGGCATATGTCAATCAGATTGAAAATTGACGTCTTGTCATTTGGAAAGGCATTTCTATTTCTGAAGAAGACGGTGTCAAGGATATCCTTGGTATGAATACCAAATTGCCAAATTTTTCTCCAGTTAAAATTTGAGTTTCAATTATGCGAATATTGCATATGGAAACCATAAATCTTGTGCCATTGCACAGTCCATCTTTAGGTGTAATATTTCTTAATAACATTATAGGACAACCCACTTTCAACTTTACCTTAAAGGCTAGTAGCTTAGGAGGATCTAATGAATTTAAAAACTCATTAGGATATTTATTTATTATAGTACGATTAATTTCATCATCTTCAGACATCTTGTCTGCTGCCAGATAAGTATATGTTTTATCAGGAAAAATATTCAATGCAACAGTATTGATAGCATTGACATCATCATTCCGTGCATAAAGAATAGTACATTCAGTTAAAAATGTTGCAGTCGATGCCTTTGCTACATCCAGTTGCGAATAAACTACTTAGATTATGTCTTTTAGATCTTGGCATTTGTGTATTGTTGATGGAAGCTTAACAATTTTTTGAGGATTGGTCCCAATCTATTTATAAAAATAAATGAATAAAATATTATTTAAAATCAATTAAAGTACATAAACATAAATGTATTTTCTCAATTTAAAAACACCATGTAATAGAGAAAAAGTTTGAAGAAATATTACCTCTATCAAGAATTTTGCAAAATTACCATTTCTAAGATTTGCATGATTCAAGCGCATGTTCAAATTTAAAGACAAAACATGTATATCGTTCCATAGAAAATAGTGTCTTAATGATGCATTCACAATTTGCTCACGGACTCCTTTGGTTATAATTAGTAAATTTTGTCGAAATCTTCATCAAGGACAACAGTGATACCCCCAAATGGTTTTTCACTATCACAAGTGTCCCGAAGTGTGCGATCAACCACCTCAACACAATGTCTATGCTGCATAGGAACTTCATCCCAGATTATAAGTTTTGTTTTTCTAAACAGTTCTGCTTGTAATGATTGCTTGCTAAATTCACATTTTGAATTTTTCAATACATCCAACAGAATGGAAAATGTTGAATGAGCAGTGTGACCTCCTATCAATAACAATGATGCAATTCCAGATGAAGCCACAGTAATAACAATATGGCCAAGGCTGCAACACTTCAATGCAATCGTATTGTACAAAAATGTTTTCCCTGTCCCGGCACCTCCATTCAAAAAAAAAAAATAGTTCCTTTATTTTCAAAAACTGAGGAAGTTATTGCATGATAAACTGTTTATTGATCATTGTTGAGGCGATCAATAATAATTTATGCATCTGTTTGTTGTGCCTCATTATGTAGTTGTTGATGTTCGAATATAAACCTGTTACCAACTACTGCACTCTAATTTGTAGAAGGTTATGGCATTGGCGAGAAGTCAATTAAACTTTTTCTTGATTCTTGGAGCATTTGATTCAAAAAATATAGACCATAGTCTTCAATTTGAGCCTCAGTTGGTTCAGAAATGGCAAACAATATTCGAATCTTATGTGCAAGATTATCACATATATGCATTGAAAATAGATTCCATAATACATATGGTTATAGTGGAGAGCACTGAGTAAAAATAATAGTAAACAATCTCCTTAATTGATAACCAATTTTCATAACTGCAGCCTCTTTAAGGCATTTTATCTATTCTTCATCATTTTTTAAAAGTTCTCTTGCGACGCATGTTGATTTAAACGTATCATGCAAAACATTGTTGACTGTACGTAAGCATTGAAATGATTTTGGTCCATTGACAACAATTAGTAGCAAACGCAAATAAAATCTCTCACCACAATTAGGGCTAGCAAAGTACATTCCACCGAATGCATATCCTTACTGTCTTGGTTTCCATCTCTTTTCTAAATTAAGCCAAACAAAATGTTGTGGAAATTCTTGGTAAGTGAATAGACATTCATCTTCCATAAAAGCACAATATGCAAAAGAATTAGTCAGAGTTGACATTTATTGCCCAACTCTAGAAACAATTGCTTCTAATGATTCATCAGGATTAAAAAAAAAAATCAGTGCATTCTAGGTAAATGAAGTGTTGAGCGTATAACTATTGGCATCTCTGCATGTAATGGATGACCAACTATTCGCCAAGTAGCTTCTGGAGGTCCAATAT